AATTTATCATCTGGTCACGTGACCGGGGCAAGATGACTTATTATGCAATTTTTACCTCCAATTTTATAAAAATTTTAAAACTACTAATAACTTTAACTAAAGTAACAAAAAATAAACAAAAATTGCAAAAAACTACTTCTAAAGAAGTTATACTTGAAGGGCACCATCCATTATGAGAAACCGAAAGTGAGAAATTTTTTTTTAGGCACTAAAAGTAAACTTATGTGTATAAAATTGCGTTAATAGTATTTCAAAAAGCCAATTTGTGTTTTAAAATACAAGATACAAATACAGTTTCGTTTTCACCCAATTTTAAGATTTTTTGTTGAGTTCTTATATGAAAACCCATCTTGCCCCATTCACCATGTTGCCCCGCTTTCCCCCATATGTTTTATTCAAGTCACTGGTTTTTTATTCAGTTTATACTTTAAATTAATTTATACGCTTTAGTAGAATTATTCTTTTAGTATCTTGTTTATATTGTTTGTATTGTTAAAACCAGTACAATTTACTGCAAATATTCATTTTATATTGAATTTTTATTTTTATAAATTTTATAAATTTGATTTTTAATTGTATCACAAACTTTTTTTTCGGATTTAGTAAAAAGATATACAATTAAAATGATTTGGTGTTTGTGGTAAAAAAATAATACGATATCTTAATAAAAAAATTTTATACGATGACGTCATATACCAAAACTGTTATGAATTAAATATGTACAGAATGCAGGCCTTGCAATAAAGCGTTGGGCGATGTGAATTTTACGTCGTCCAAGAGCGATTTTGCGTGTAGCTAGGGCTATTTGCGTCGAGCAAAAAATTTTTTGTTTGAGTATATTTAAAGATATTTTTGAGCGGAATTTTAATGAAGTAATTTACGATTATTTTAACATTTAATTAAGTATTTTAAAAACCGCATGCAGTTGATATAAAAGTTTGAATTTAAAAAAATTAAATATGCTCATTATTTACAAGTAGAAAAAATTCAGATTAAAAAAAAAGTTTAAATCTTTTAAGCTAACATTTTAATAAAATTATTCAGCAATAGCAAAGTTTTCGATAAAATTGAACAAAAATACTTCCTTTTAGTTTTAGATTTTAAACTTAAATAATTATTTTACGGGGGTTTGTTAGGTTTTAAAATTATTCCATAGATTTAAAAATATTTATTAACTGTTAGACGTATTTAAAGTATTTAAGAGTAATTTTGAGGAAACATTTTAAAAATTGGTGAGCGCAAATAAATAAAAAAAAAAGGATTTATATTAAAACGTATTCTACTCGATTCAATAAAAAAGTACAGTTATTAAAATTTTTGTAAAAAGTAACTCAAAAAAATTACTTAAATAATAACGATCGCTTTTAAGTTAAAAGTTACCGAAACTCAACGAAGCATGCTCAAGAACAGCTGCTGAAAAATAGAACGTCAATAGTTTTTCGAATAATTATAATAATAATTTTTTAGAATAATTTTTTCGCTGAAACATTTCTTTTATACCTATAAGATTTTTATTCTAACATTTTATTTTATTTTACTAGAAATAAAATTCCTTGTTAACGTTAAAAATCTATTCAAAACGTTCGTTCAAGTTTTTTATTAATACGAGTGATTGTGCTTATCAACCGCCTTATGAAAATAAATAAAAATAAATAAATATTATATAAAATCGCTTGTAAAAATATTAGCTATTGCACAGTTTTTAATCGTACAATATTAAAATTTCCAGTTTATTACTCGCTGACTTTTTAAAAAGAAAAAATAATTATTTGAAAAACTTTAAATTACATATTTAAGAAAAAGAAATCAAATATTAGCATATTTTATAATCTTTTTTAAATTTAAGTTATAATGTTTTTTATTCGTTTAATAAAGACAAAACGTGTCAAACGTCGAGAAAATAAGCAAATGTTTTTACATTTTAAAAAGCGAAACATTCCAAAACATTTTTAAATAATAACGTTTCAACATTAATGATTTAAAATAGTTTTGCGGTAATTAAGTAAATTGGTGCAGTTAATGTCGAAAAATATGAAAAGCAAATAAAAAGAATTTAATGACGTAAAAAATCATGTCATGCTTATGCGTTGCGCAGTTTTTATTCATCACAAGGCCTGGAATGAATTATCATGTCTGCAGATAGCGGCTAACATTATACAGACTCTGATAAACAAACAATAAATATAAACGGCAAGCTTCAACTAAAACTTGAATTTTAAAATTAATGGTTTGTATTCATTATTTAATTTTAATCAAAAAAATTCAGCCAAATGTTTTTTTTAAACATTTTCTTTAATATGAACACAACTTGTTTCAGCAGTTGAGGATCCCTTTAACAAATTTTAAAATGAATAAAGTAACAGAAACTATAAAACACAAAAAAACGCTGTCATCACCAAATTCGCTAAACCTTTCACTAATATTCATGGTCTTTAAAGTAACTTTACTTCTGTTGAGTCTTATCTCTTGCAAAATTCACCAGACCTACTTGCTCTTTGTGAGACTAATTTTAGTTCCGCTGTCTCATCATGTGATCTTTGTGTTGATGGTTATCTTCCTTTAATTTGTAAAGACTCCAACAGTCACATGATTGGCCTGGGCATTTACATTCCTAAGAATTCACCCATTTGTTGAAAAACTAGGTTCGAATCTACAGACTACTCTTTTATGTGCTTTCGTTTAGCACCACTTCACTCCATTACCTTTCTCTTTGTTCTATATCACTCTCCTTTATCTCAAGATTGCACTCTTCTTGATGTTGTTTCTAATCATATTGACCAAGCCCTCTCTCTTTATCCATCAGCAAATATTATTTTTGTTGGTGACTTTAATGTTCATCACACAGAATGGCTTGAGACTAGTGTAAGTGATTCTGCAGGTATTGAAGCCTACAACCTTTGCATTTCTCAATCCCTAACTCAAATAGTTAACTTTTTAACTTACTTTCCAGACAACTCGAATCATTCACCTTCTCTACTTGACTTATGCCTTGTTTCTGATCTTAGTCAGTGCTTAGTTTCTCCACATTTACCCTTAGGTGCCTCTGATCACAGTTTGATCTCTCTAAAACTATTATCTCATTCTTTTTTATCATCAGGATCCCCCTATCATCGTACATCTCACAACTACCTTAAAGCTGACTGGGACTCTTTCCGTGATTTTCTTCGTGATGGCCCTTGGGTAGAAATCACTTCCATATCTATCAGCAAAACAAATCTGTTTATTACAGCTAGGAGCCTTTGTAAAAAGGTTTTGTCTAACGCCGAAGCTGGTCATTCTCAGGTCATGAAATCTCATATTTCATCACAAAAATTAGCCTCTCGTGACTTCTGGAGAATCTTTAATAGTATCAATAATATGGGCAAGTCTTTAATTCCACCTCTTTTGTATTGATCACCTTTTTAAAAAAACCATTAAGTTAACATGGAAGTATAAACAGAAACATGCCCTACTTTAAACAACTTTAAAGTATGACAAACTAGTTCATCAATCAATTGAGCAAAATGTTTGATTATACAAAAAAAAATTGTCTTTATTTTATAACAGTTTTTATTTTATAATTTTCTAAATTTCCAAAGAATACTGAAAACCCGGACTATTATTTTAAATTCAATGTATGCATATTTTGCCTGCTTTTTAAGATACTAATTATTTCTCTTTTAACAGAATTATATATAACAGTTTCAGTTGTTTTAAATAACTTGTTTGATTTTTATTTTTTATTTTCAAATCAGAATATGAAAAAAAAAAAAAAATCATAATTTTTTAAGCATTTCCGGAATAAAATAGTTTTGTATTTTAACTAGTAAAACAAACAGTTTTACTAGTTAAAATTGCAATACTTAAATAAATAATAAATTTGACAATTAGTTTTGAGAAAATTGACTATTAAGTCTAGGTGTAAATAAGTAATTCTAAAATAACCAAGAGAAGACAAAAATTCTGCACCAATTAAAATTTAACAATCTCCCTCGTTATCAAACAAATTCTATATCTGTACTCATATGGCCCTAGGTACAAGCAAACTATATGTTCCCAGGTATAAGACTTAATAACTTCATAAAAATTGTCATCTATTGACAAACTTGAATTGAGAGAAAACTTACTGAATATTGCATTTAGTACTGAAGTAACAAACAATGTAATATACAAAAACTTTTAGAAAAGTATTTTCTCAATGATTGTAAAACCCTCTAAGATACCAGCGACAAAAGTTTAGAGAATCTGAAAATCAAAATAAAATCAAAAAAATAAAACTTTTTAAAACAAATCACCTGACTGAGAAGCAAATCTTAGAACTTCATAGTTTTTAAATAAAGTGGGGTGGCCCTAGGTAAAAGAGGGCCCTAGGTACACGAACTTCCAAACTATTTATATAGGCAACAACTATTCGAATGCAAAACATAAGCTCTTAATAAGTATAGTTATTTTAATTTCAATTTAAATATTAACTATTCTGTTCATTTAACTTTTTCTAAAGGTTAATTATTTTAAAAGTACTTCAAAATGCCTTTTAAATAAAATAGATATTTACAGTAAACTTAATTATAAAAAAAATATTTAATCATAAAAAAAATTACTTACACTAAATAAGTTACATTTTTTTAAAAATAAAAAACTTTGAAATTTAAAAATAACTGAGATTTTAAAAATTTCATCAAGTTATTGTTATCATTATTTTTATTAAAGTCAATAGTATTTTGAAAAGCAAATCAATTAGTTATGTAGCTGCTGTTACAGATTTGTTAACTGCAGTGTTCACTTAGTTTTTAGAAAGAAATGGTTTGTAGAAGCAAATAAAGATTGTTTTAGTTTTAATTTTTCACCAGATTCTATTATAGGATTATTTAATTTTTATTTATTTAGTTTTTAGTTTGATTTGTTTATATTTAATTTAAATAGAAACAATTTTTAGTATAATTTATTTTTGTTATAAACAATTTTATTGTTTTGTTGATATAATTATTTTATATTTATATATATTTTTCATTTTTTTAAAGTTGGTGCTTCAGCATATGATAATGCAGGAACACATAAAGAGATAGATCAACTAACACAAACTGTAGATTTAAAATTTAATATTAATTCTATTGAAAGAAATAGTTTAGCTGAAAAAACAAATGAACTTGAAAATAATAAATCAGAAAATAAGCCAGGTTAGTATTTTATTGTTTTTGTGGATGTAAATGTTTTTTAACCTATTTTTTGTGCCTATTTTTTTACTTTACTTATTTTCTCAACCTTATATCTATGCAGGAAAAGACATACCTAAAATGTCACTTAAGTTTACTTTTTTTTTTAGTTGAAATTAATTCTTCATTAAAAGGTGTACGACCTTGTGCCGTCATTTTTTGGCAAGTTAATAAGGGCATTTTTAATGCCCTTTTTAACTTGTTTTTAGTACAACATAAAACCTTTTTTCTTATTAATGATCAATTTTAAATCCTTTACTTATCTTCTGAATATTAACATGAATTAATATGAGTATTTTTTTTGTTCAAGGTATACAATATCTGTTTCCTAATCTGCTGATGAGTTGTTTTAATTTTTTTTTCAAATTTTTTTTAATCTTGAATATAATTCTGGCATTAATATATTTTTCTCCAAACACATGTTTTAGCATTTTATTCTTCTTAGGGGAGGATGCTCATAGGGGAGGAAGGGAGGTCTTCAAAAATTGTATGAAAGTTTATGGGGGGGGGGGGGGTTCAATTTAAAAGTACTTACATCAATTTTCTAATTTGTTACAATTAACCAGCTAATTAATAGAAAAGTTAAAAATCTGACTAAAGATCCTAGTTTGCAAATATAAAAAGATGTTTGGTATAGGGAGTAGAGGGTATAGTTTCCCTCAATGCACACACATGCATGGGGGCCCACAGGATTTTTTGATGTTATAGATACGACACTTTCACACATTGTGCAAACTCCTAACTATGTATGTTTATACTTATGCCAAATGAGGAGGTTTTGCAAAAAATTAAGAAAGCAAAAGCCTGGAAGCAAAAGAACCCTAAACGCCCCCTCCCCCAAAAAAAAATTAGGGGGGGTGTAAATTTTGTATGGTCATGTTTTTTGTAATTTACAACATTTTTCTACGAAGTTTAAAATCTCTAGATAAATTTAAATTTAGTTTTAGATATTAAAGTTGAAATTTTACTACATTAGTGCACTCATGCGTGGGCAGGGGGCAAGCATTTTAGGGCTTTTTTTGTTCCCAGGCCTCCGCCATCCCAATTTTTTTCAAGGTTTCCTCATTTAACATAGTTATACTTTTAGAGCTTGCACAAATTTCACACATTTAAAATAGGCATACTTATGTTTGGAGCTTAAACTTTAGTATACCTATGCCAAATGTGTGAAAGTGTCCTATCTAGAACATCAAAAAATCCTGCAGGCGCCCTTGTGGCTAATGGGTCAGAGCCCCTCCCCCCCACAAATAAAAAAGCAGGTCAATTGGGTATCAAAATCTCCCATATTTTACTGCTAGATTTTGCTAAAACAAAAAGCTCCTTAAATTAACAAAAGGACACACAATTTTCTGCCACCTTCCCCTCAAATTAAGTGGTACGGGTAGTCTATCCTCAGCACTTTTTTTTTCCATAAACTTTTTCATTAAAAAAAAAAAGTTTGGGGTGGGGGTATTTCGTTTGTACTTTTTAAGGGGTGGGGGGAAGGACTTAGAAGTACGTATGGCAACAGGGGGAGGGAGGGGGTCAGATTTCAAAATTTTTGGCATACATACATAATGGACGACCTCTTATGTCTTTTTTTTCTTCCAAGTACTGAAACCTTTACTGAAATTTAGAAAATTTCAGTAAAAGTTTCAGTACTTGGAAGACTTGGAAGAGCAGTATCTAGCAGTTAATTAGTTTCAGTTTTCTTTATTAAAAACACAGGCAAAAACAATGGTCTTAATGCATTTGGTGACTAATCTTGCTAAAATGTCATGTTCTTTTTTTTCTTGTTAACATTTTAATAAAAGTGAAAAAAATCAAAATTATCAATTAAAAAAAAACTCTAACTTTTTTTTAGAGAATATTTTACATTCAGAGTGAATTACTGTTGCGTCATTCCATATCAACTCAACCAGCATTTTGACAATTGTTCACCACACCATCTCAGATCTTCCTGAAATTTTTAGGGCTTCTGGTACATACAAAGTTAAGTAATTGCTGAAATTTTTCGGCCATTTGGTCAAAAACTTTCTGAGATATGATTTTTTAAAGTTTTAAGGGTTGTCCTGAGTTCACGTGACTTTTACCTTTTTGCGATATTTGAACGTGAATGTTTCAAAAACTAAAACAGGTATCAGGCTGAAATTTTTAGCATTTACTCATTTTTTCATGCTGAATTGATTGGTGTTTTTATATCAATTGTAGCTTGCATACAATACCCCCTAAAAATGTCCAAACATTGCACTTTAGGCAGTTTTCACCAATATTTGACCCAATATAGCTAAGAACCTATAAAACATGGAATGATGTTTGTTATACCATTAATAAGTACCATATATGTATTTGTTATTTTCATAGAAAATTCATGTTAATAATAGTGTACTCATTGTAGGCACTGTTATGCATCATGGTTATTAATTTTTTTGCGCATTGCGACCCCCAGATGGCCATGTTGACAGTATTTCACACATATCATATTTTGTACACTTATTAACCTCAGTAAGTACTAGCTTTGGTGAAAATTTCATGTTGGTATCTTAAGCCTTTCCTACTAAATCAATTGCTAATTAAAACCATATTTTGTAAATTTTTTTTTTTAAATATTTATTTGTACAGAAATTGTAATTGTAAACAAAAAAACAATTGTCCAATGAGTGGAAGTTGCTTATCGAAAAATGTGGTATATAAATGTGTTGTCTCCTCTAAAAATGTACCTGATAAACAATATATACTGGCATAACACCCACCTTTTGCCAATCATAAGCAATCTTTTAAAAATAAAAAGTATTCAAAAGACACCATGCTGTCAAAATATATATGGGAATTAAAAGATAAAAATATTGATGATTTTACACTGAATTGGTCCATCCTTAAAACAGTGCCTGCATATAACAATATTTCCAAAAAATGCATACTATGTCTACAAGAAAAATTTGAAATAATTACACATACAAACCAAGAATGTTTATTAAACAAAAAATCGGAATTGATTTCTAAATGCATGCACGAAAATGAGTTTCTCCTAAAAAACTATAAAAATAAGTAAGCTCAATTAATAGTTACATTAACTCCCCTTTGAAAAAAATATTTTTTTTAAAAAAGCTTAAGTAATCATTTCTGAAGAATTCTTTTTACAATAGTGTCAGCAAATTACACAAATGTGCGAAAAATTGCAGTAGTTAAGACATGTGACTTCCTGTAATTTAATTTTTGGTATAAATTGAAGTTTTATTAATTTGATCATTCATTTCTGATGAGTCTTTGTTGATGAAACACAGTGTTGAAAATGAGAAAAAATTTTGCTAAGTGATTTTCTACTAATTTGTAATTGCTCTGTTCTTTTAAGAACATTGAGCACTCTTTTTGTAGAATTTTAAATTGTTTATATATATAAATATATATATATATATATATATATATATATATATATATATATATATATATATATATATATATATATATATATATATATATATATATATATATATATATATATATATACAGGCTTCGGCAGGAATGACGGGCTATAGCCCGTGTCCGTCTCCGCACCCGTCTAAGTCAGTTTAGACGGGCGAAATAAAGCCCGTCTGAAACATAAGTTTTGTGTAAAAAAAAAAATGAATATTTTGATGTTTTTTTATTAAGATACTCTTTTAAAACTTCTCTCATGACATAGTTTTAATATGGATAGCAAACTCCAACTTATAATTGTTTATATTTAAATATAAAAATTAAACAATTTAATCATTATTGTATAACATGATGTAGAAAATAATATAACTAAATCTTACAGTTTTTTAAACGACGATAACTGTTTGATATAATACCAAACAGTTACCATATCATGTTCAAAATTTAATAACTATTATATTAAATAGGGAAATATACACATGTGATGCACAAGAAGTATCATGTTGTTTTGGTTTTTCAATGTTTATAATAATAACGATAATAAACCAATTATCCATGTATTTCGCTTTTTTCCGATAAACTAGTTTGTCTTACTTTAAAGACATTTAAAGTGATATTTCCGCGTTAACTTCCGCGTTAACTTCACGTTTTTTCTTAAAGAGACGACAGTTTATTTAATATGCAATTATATAACTTGTTATTGAAAATGAAATATCTCATTAAAAATCAACAAACGTCTAATCAATTTTTGTAGATAATATAAATAGTGTTGCTTTATAGTTATGAAGTTATTCAAGTTATCCAGTCATTCAAGTTTTTCAAGTTATTCAAGTTTTTCAGTAAAGATAGTAATGGCATCATCTGGTAGAAGAGTTACATTAGCAACATTTTTGAGTTGGGGTAATGATGGAGTCTGTGGAAAAGAAACTGAGGTGGAGATTGGAACAATTTTTGTTGTGAAGATATGGTGTATGGTTTATATAAAATATAAAAAAGAATTGCTTCGCGAGTTAAAAGGTCTGTCAAAATCAAAAGCATTAGCATTTATAGAGGGCACTACGAATGTTAAAGCTAGCAACATACATACGCTTATATACATGCTTATATTGTATATAAAGTAACGGAAGCCCCGGTATTTTAAGAAATTATTAGTACTTCTAAATAAAAACTTATTTTATTAAAAGAAATTAGATTTCAAATTTTTTATTCACGTATCAGAATAACTATTTCCGATCAGGATAGGCATAAGTAAAGCAAAGTTATAAAAATATAAATAACAGTTTAAGTTTTTAATTTGCACGCCCAATAGAATGCAAGAGTATATAAATAATTGAATTTGAAAAATAACATAGTTACGTATCATATTACCAAGCTAATACCAAACAATTCTAAAACTATCGAGCTCATTGATTCAAGGTTACAAAAAAAAAAGATTTCAAACTATTTGCTGAATAATTAAAAAAATTAGATTTTGAAAATATTATGTAATATTTTTATTCACAAAGAATAAGAGAAACGAATGAACTAAAAAAGCACGATAAAAACCTGTATAATTTAATCGAATACTT